GGGGGCACTGCGGCTTTGCGGCGGCGGCGCCCGGCGGCGAGCCGCCGCCGCCAACGCTGCTGCTGCTGCTGCTCGCCTCTCCCTCCGCCCTGCTGCTGCTGCTGCTGCTGCTGCTGCTGCTGCTGCTGCTGCTGCTGCAGCAGCTGGAGGTGGCGCTTGCGGGTGGGGGCGCGTCGTCGGCGGGTCGGTGCTGCGCCGCCGCTGCTGCGTCCGCGGCGCCGCGCTCCTCCGCAGCCTGCTGCTGCTGCTGCCGCCGCTGCTGCTGCTGCTGCTGCTGCTGCTGCTGCTGCTGCTGCTGCTGCTGCTGCTGCCAGTCCTGCAGCGGGGAGTGCAGCAGGATCTCAGTGACCCCGTAGTACTTGGGGACGAACTGCTTGAGGATGTGGAGGGGCCCCGCCTCCGCGTTGGGGGCCCCCAAAGAAGCAAGTTTGTCATAAAACTTAAATTCATTTTCGTTCAAAGGTTTGCAAACTTTCGAGGAGTCCTTCGGCTTCAGCAGCCGGCAGTGGCCCCCCACTTGGTGCCGGTACGCCTCCACGTGCATCCCCGCTGCTGCTGCTGCTGCTGCTGCTGCTGCTGCGGCTGCTGCTGCTGCTGCTGCTGCTGCTGCGGCTGCTGCGGGAGCAGCAGCGGAAAGGAAGCAGGGGGCCCCCGCCACCAACCGCCTCGGACGGCTGCGGCAGCGCCTCGGGAAGAAGCATATCTCTCCAGCTGGCCCGAGCTCCCCACACGCACCGCAGCAGCAGCAGCAGCAGCAGCAGCAGCAGCAGCAGCAGCAGCAGCACGGGCAGCAACCGGGGCCCAGCTCCCGCTTACGTGCACCTCGACGCAACGAAGCTGGGACCGCACACGCGCGCTCAGGGGCTCCCAAGCTCTTGCTGCTGCTGCTGCTGCTGTTGCTGCTGCTGTTGCTGCTGCTGCTGCTGCTGCGGCTTCTGCTGCTGCTGAGCAGCTGCTGCCGGCTGTCGCAGCCCCCCTGGAGGGTACAGACACTCTGCGGCCTCCGGGTGTATAGGCAAGGAGCAGCAGCAGGAAGCGGCACTCAAAAATGGAGAGCAGCAGCGAGACAAACAGCAGCAGCAAGACAAGCAGCAGCAGCAAGACAAGCAGCAGCAGCAAGACAAGCAGCAGCAGCAGCAGCAATCAGGCCGGGGCCCGGAGGGCTGCGGCGCCGCAGTCCAGACACCAAACTGCCCAACCCCGAAGGGTCTGGTCCGCAGGCGGGGTGCGCGCTGTAACGCTGCTGCTGCTGCTGCTGCTGCTGCTGCTGCTGCTGCTGCTGCTGCTGCTGCAGGTTTGGGAGCCGGGCGTCTCCGTGGGTGGCGGGCAGCAGCAGTAGGCCTTGGAGGGGTTTGGGTGGAGGGGAGCGGGGAGGTGTCTGTACAGCGGAGGGCTGGCGGCGGCGCCGGGGGGCAGCAGGAGCAGCAGCAGCAGGAGCAGCAGCAGCAGGAGGAGCAGCAGCAGCAGCAAGTCCCACGGGAGAGCAGCAGCAGCGCGAAGGCGCGGACGGCCGCGGAGACGCGAGACCCCCCTGACACGAAAAGAAAAGACTGAGGAAAGAGGGGTTTGGGAAAGAGGAAGAATTCGATTTGGGGTGTACGGACACCTGAACGGCGCGCGCGCAGCAGCGGGCGAGGCGCAGGGGGAAGCTGCGGGAAAGCGGGCAGGCCGGGTCCGAGAAGCAGTTAAAAGGCAAAAGGGAAGCGGCAAACAGAAAAATAATAAAAATAAAAGGAGTTGTGGCGCGGAAGAGGGGGGCGGCGCGCGGGTATCTGGGGTGTATGGACAGCTGCGGAGCTGCAGCGGGCGGCGCCGCGAAGCATTCCGTTGAACCTGCGCTGAACTGGCGTCACATCTTTCCTTCTTGGAAAAAAAGAGAAGTAAAAGGAGTTTTTCCCCTTTGAGGCGGGCCGGGAGTGCGCGAAAGGCGCAGGGTTTGCGGAATTGCTGCTGAGCAGCCCCTGCGCGGCTGTCGGCTGCTGCTGCGTCCGCAGCAGCAGTTCTCCGCTTCTGCTGCGGCTCCGGCCGCCGTTTTTTGGCAGCAAATAGCTTTTTCAAAGTTCTTTCACTTCCCCAATTTTCTCCCAAAATGGCCGACGCCGCGAAGGCCAACTGCCAGCTTTCCCCCGTCGAAAGCCTCCGCGCCTGCGTCCTCCTCCAGGAAGCCCTCAAGCAACTCGCCTTCATCGGCCGTTTGGCCCGAAGCCAAAAGGCCGCGCAGCCCGCGGGCCTCGCGGCGGCCCGCGGCGACGAGATCGTGCGGCTCATAGCCGAGCAGCAGCAGCAGCAAGACAGGTGCGCGCAGCAGCAGCAGCAGCAGCAGCAGCAGCAGCAGCAGCAGCAGCAGCAGCAGCTGCAGCTGCTGCTGCTGCTGCTGCTGCGGCGGTGGAAACCGCAGCGCCACGCAAGCGGCGCACGAGGGACTGATGCCACAACGCTTCCAAAAAACTCCCGCAGCCCACAGACCTTCTGCTGCTGGCTAGCTGCTGGCTAGCTGCTGGCTAGCTGCTGGCTAGCTGCTGGCTAGCTGCTGGCGGGCGGGCCTGGCTAGCGGATGCACAGCTCAGCTAGCTGCAGCCAGCCGGCCCTGAACAGCCCAGACACAAAACAGCTAGCTGCTGCTGCTCCTCTCGCCCCAGCTAGCTGCTGATACACCCCAGCTAGCTGCTGATACACCCCAGCTAGCTGCTGATACACCCCAGCTAGCTGCTGACACACCCCAGCTAGCTGCTGATACACCGCAGCTAGCTGTCGATACACCCCAGCTAGCTGTCGATACACCCCAGCTAGCTGCTGATACACCCCAGCTAGCTGCAAATGCATCTCTGCTAGCTATCTGCTGCTGGCTAGCTACCTAACTGGCTAACTAGCTAGCTAGCTAGCTAGCCAGTTAGCTAGCTATCTATCTATCCAGCTAGCTAACTAGCTAACTAGCTAGCTAGCTAGCTAGGTGGCTAGCATTGAAGCTAGGTAGCTAGAAAGCAGTGTGCCTATCTCGCTAGCTAGCAGCACAGCTAGATGGCCAGCCGAGTAGCTAGCTAGGCAGCTAGCTAGTGGCGCAGCTAGCTAGCCACAAGTGTAAACGGCTGGCCAGGAGTATGGCTAGCTAACTAGCTAGCTAGCTAGCTGGAAATGTAGGTAGGTGGGCTGGCGGTTAGCGAGCTAGCTAGCTAGCTGGCTAGCTAGCTAGCTAGCTAGCTAGCTCGCTAGGTATCTAGCTAACTACCACGATAGATAGATAGCCTTACGTATAGGTGGTCAGCTAGCTAGCCAGCTAGCTACTTAGCTAGCTAGCTAGCTAACTAGCCAGCCAGCAGGCTACCTAGCCAGCTAGCTAGCTAGCTAACTAGCCAGCTAGCTAACTAGCCAGCTAGCTAGCTAGCTAGGCAAAAAGCAGCGAAGCAGCAAAGTCGGCTGGCCAACTGAGGGAAGTTTGGAAATGGAAAAGAAGTTTATTTAAATTTAAAATGAAAATAAAAAAATGCAAAAGGCAAAAAGTCATTTTGAAAGCCAACAGCAAAAGAAGAAAAAGGAAATAAAATTAAAATAAAAATAAAATTAAAGAACGAGGCAAAGCCCCGTGGGCTGTACGTACGCTGCATGCGATGAAACGATGCAAAGTCGGAAAAAAAGAGAAAAAATCCACTCTAGGGTTTAGGGTTTAGGGTTTAGGGTTTAGGGTTTAGGGTTTAGGGTTTGGGGTTTAGGATTTAGGGTTTAGGGCTAGTTCTGACTTAGGGTTCCGCGCTTCGACTTGGCCCTGAAACGAATGGCTTAATGTCTAGGGTCTAGGGTTTAGGGTTTAGGGTTTAGGGTTTAGGGTTTAGGGTTTAGGGTTTGGGGTGCAGACTGCAGGAGCTTGCTGGGGAGCGGGAGTCGCTGGAGTTTGGGGAAAACAAAATAAATTTGAAAGCAGCAGAAGCAAAAGAAAAAGAAGTTGCAAACAAACTGAAAGAAACAAACAAACTTCTTTGCAAAAACCTCCGACAAAAACCAAACCTCCAGGCCAGCCACAAACCCTAAACCCTAAACCCTAAACCCTAAACCCTCGCGCGCCTTCGCGCCAAACCGAGCCCCGCTCTGCGGCCGCCTCGCCCCCACGCCAGCAGCTGCTCCCCGAGGGTTTAGGGTTTGGGGCTTGGGGCTTGGGGTTTAGGGTTTAGGGTTTAGGGTTTAGGGTTTAGGGTTTAGGGTTTAGGGTTTGGGCGCAGGCGAACTACTTGAAGCTGCAGCGGGAGCGGCAGCGCATAGAAGAGCTGCTGCAGCAAACCATTTCGGAGTTGAAGGAAGGAAACACTTTTAAGGGTTTGCTGGAGGCAGTGGCTCAGGAGAAGCACGCCCAGGAGAGGCTCAACGAGGTTCCCAAACCCTAAACCCTAAACCCTAAACCCTAAACCCTAAACCCTAAACCCTAGGCCCTGCTGGCTCGGGCTGCTGCTGCGCAGTGGCGGGGTCTTCTTGCTCTCTCTCTGTCTCTTTATAGCTCTTTCGGCACTTTTGCTGCTGCTGCTGCTGCTGCTGCTGCTGCTGCTGCTGCTG